AAGGCTGTTGTCATTCTATGATTCTGCTGTATGGACTGCTTCCCATGCTGGAGTGTTCACTACTTTTTAAATCTATTATTATTACCAAACACTTAGTCCTATTTGTATGATCATTTTGACACTTAATCCTATCCATAAGATCACTGTAACACTTAAAATGCTCTTTTTACCACACAGTTTAAGGGTATTTAGGGCCCCATGGCAAGTTTGTTTTTAAATTTATTTTATTTATTTGAAAGAGTTATAGAGAGAGGTACAGACAGAGGTCTTCCATCCACTGGTTCAGTCCCCAGATGGCTGCAACGGCCAGAGTTGCACCTATCTGAATTCAGGAGCCAGGAGCTTCTTCTAGGTGTCCCACGTGGGTGCAGGGGCCCAAGGACTTGGGCCATCTTCTGCTATCCCAAGCCATAGAAGAGAGCTGGATCAGAAGAGGAGTAGCCAGGACTAGAACCAGCACCCATATGGGATGCCAGCGCTTCAGGCCAGGGCTTTAACCCGCTGTGCCACAGTGCTGGTCCCCCTCCATGGCAAGTTTTTGAACTGTACCCTTAGAAATAAGTCCATAGGAATTTATACAGAACTATACTGCTTTACAGTTACAAACTTCACAATTAGCACTTTAGAAACATGTTGATTCTTCCCACCGTGCCTGCCTCCCACTCCCACTCCCACCCTTTTCCTCCTCCCTCTCTTATTTTATTCTCTAATTTTTTTTTACTAAGACCTATTTTAAATTTTATACAAATATGATTAACACTATGTTAAGTAAAGAGTTCAACAATTAGTATAAAAACCTTTTTCTCAACGGTTAAAACAAGGGCTGTTCAAAGTCATTGCTTCTTAAAGTGTCAATTTTACTTCTGCAGGTTGATTTTAGGTGCTCTATTAGTTATCACAGCTCAAGAAGAACATATAGTATTTGTCCCTTTTAGACTGACTTATTTCACTAAATATGATGTTTTCCAGCTCCTTCCATTTTGTTGCAAATGACTGGTGCATGTTTTTTTTTTTTTTTAACTGCTGTGTAGTAGTCCATGGTATACATATCCCATAATTTCTTTATCTAGTCTTCAGGTGATGGGCATTTGGGTCAATTCAATGTCTTTGCTATTGTGAATTGAGCTGAGATAAATATGGGGGTACAGATAGCTCTTAAATATGCTGATTTCATTTTCCTTGTTTAGATTCCTAGGAGTGGGATGCCTGGGTCATATGGTAGGTCTATATTCAGATTTCTGAGGTATTGTCATATTGTCTTCCATAGTGGCTTTACCAGTTTGCATTCCTACCAACAGTGCATTATGGTACCTTTTCCCTACATGCTCACCAACATTTGTTGTTAGATGATTACTATATATAAGCCATTTTCCAGTGTGGTTGAGGTGAAGCCTCATTGTGGTTTTGATTTGCATTTCCCTTATGGCTAGTGATCCTGAGCATTTTTTCATTTGTCACCATTTGGATTTTCTCTTTTGAAAAATGTTTAAGTCCTTTGCCCATCTCTTAGCTGGGTTATTTTGTTTTGTTTTGTTGTTGTGGAGTTTCTTGATCTCTTTATATAGTCTGGTGGTTAATCCTTTATCAGTTATATAGCTTGCAAATAATTTCTCCCATTCTGTTGGTTGCCTCTTCCCTTTCTTGAGTGTTTGTTTTGCATGAAAGAACCTTCTCAGCTTGATGTATCCCATTTTTCAATTATGGCTTTCATTGCCTGTGCCTCTCGGGTCTTTTTCAAGAACTCATTGCCCAAAAAAAAAAAAAAAATGCCTATTCAAATGCTTTATAGGGTTTTTTTTGTTTGTTTGTTTGTTTTTAACAGGCAGAGTTAGACAGTGAGAGAGACAGAGAAAAAGGTTTTCCTTCCATTGGTTCATCCCCCAAATGGCTGCTATGGCCAGTGTGCTACACCAATCTGAAGCCAGGAGCCAGGTGCTTCCTCCTGGTCTCCCATGCGGCTGCAGGGCCCAAGCACCTGGGCCATCCTCCACTGCCTTCCCGGGCCCCAGCAGAGAGCTGGACTGAAAGAGGAGCAATCGGGACAGAATATGGCACCCCAAACGGGACTAGAACCCGGGGTGCTGGTGCTGCAGGTAGAGGATTAGCCTAGTGAGCCACGGCACTGGCCTATAGGGTTTCTCTAGTAATTTGATGGTGTTGGGTTTTGAATTTAGGTCTTTAGTCCATTTTGAGTGGATTTTAGTGAAAGGTGTAAGGTCGGGGTCTTCTTGCTTCTGCATGGGGAAATCCAATTTTCCCAGCACCATTTGTCGAGGAGACCGTCTTTGCTCCAGGGATTGATTTTAGCTCATTTGTCAAAGATAAGTTGGTTGTAGATGCTTGGATTTATTTCTGGTGTTTCTACTCTGTTCCATTAGTGTATCCATCTGTTTTGTACTAGTACCAGGCTGTTTTGATTATAGCTACCTTGTAGTATGTCTTGAAAGCTGGTATTGTGATGCCTCTGGCTCTGTTTTTGTTGTATAAGATTGCTTTAGATATTTGGGATCTCCTCTGCTTCTATATGAATTTCAGCATCCTTTTCTATATCTGGAAGAATGTCCTTGGCTTTTTTAGGGTCCTGAGCTTTTTTGTTGTTGGGAGGTTATTTGTTACTGATACAATTTCTGTCTTGGTTATTGGTCTGTTTAGGTTTTCTATGTCTTCATGGCTCATTTTCAGTAGGCTACATGTATCCAGTAATCTATCCATTTCTTCTAAGCTTTCCGATTTGTTGGCCTACAGCTCTTTGTGGTAATTTCTTATGATTCTTTTTATTTTTGTGGTACCTGTTATGAAATTTCCTTTTTCATCTGATTTTATTAATTTAGGTCTTCTCTCCTTTTTTTGGTTAGTTGGGCCAATGGTATGTCAATTTTGTTTATTTTTTCAAAAAACCAGGTGTTCGTTGTGCTGATCTTTTGTATTTGTTTTGTTTTTGCTTTTGTTTTCTTCTCTAATTTTAATTCTTTTCTCTTACTGGTTTTAGGTTTGGTTTCCTATTTTTCTAGATCCTTGAGCTGCATTGATAGCTCATATTTTTGGTGCCTTTCCAATTTCTTGATGTAGGCACCAATTGTTATGAACTTTCCTCTTTACACTGCTTTTGCTGTATCCATAAGTTTTGATGTGTTGTATTGCCATCTTCATTCATTTCCAGAAATTTTTTAACTTACATTTTGATTTCTTCTGTGATCCACTGTTCATTCAGGAGCATGTTGTTTAGTCTCTATGTGTTTGCATATGATACAGAGATTTCTGAGTTACTGATTTACAGCTTTATTCCTTTGTGTTCAGAGAAGATGCATGGTATGATTTTGACTTTTTTTGGATTTGCTGAGACTTGGTTTATGGCCTGTCATGTGGTCAATCCTAGAGTAAGTTTCATGCACTGGTGAGAGGAATGTGTATTCTGTGGCTGTGGGATGAAAAGTTCTGTAGATATCCATTAGGTCCATTTGGTCTATAGTGTCAGTTAACTCTGTTTCCTTGCTGATTTTCTGTCTGGTTGATCTTTCCATTGCTGAAATTGGCATTTCAAAGTCTCCCATTACTATTGTATTTGTGTCTATGTCTCTCTTTAGATCCCTTGACATTTCTTTTACATAGACAGCTGCCCTGTAATTAGGTGCATCTACATTTACTTATAGTCACATCTTCCTGTATCTTTCTCTGTTTCCATGTCCTCAGGGTTTCCTAAGACCTGTATGTTGGGCCACTTGATAGTGACTTGTAGATCTCCAACAATGCTTTTTGGTTTTCTAATTTCTTGTTCTTTTTGGTCTTACTGTAAAATTTCCAGAGATTTGTCTTCTAACTCAGATATTCTTTCTTCTGCCTCACCAACTCTGTTGTTAATACTTTCCACTGCATTTTTATTTGATCTATTGCATTCTTCATTTCTAGTATTTCATTTTGATATCTCTTTAAGATTTCAATTTTGTGGGAAAATTTTTCATTTATATCATATACTTTAGTTTGTTTACTTCTGATTACTTCTGAGTAATCTGATTAGTTTTTTTAAATTCTGTTTCTGGCATTTCCTCAGTCTCTTCATCTTCACTACCCAATATTGAAATGTTATAGTGGTTCTTTGGGTGGCTCAGAGTGTCTTCCTTATTTTTATTTCTTGAATTTTTACCTTTATTTTTTGGCATTTTTTTGTCGGATGGCTTTTATCTTTGGTGTGTGTCTCTGTGGCTTAGTGGGACATCTACACTCTCAGTGAATATCAAGAGGTGTGTTCTGGGTGTGGCCAGGGTGCTGTTCAGTATTCCAGGGTAAGACCCCAGTGGGGCATGGCAGCTCTCCTCTGATTAACTGGATGGAGAGGAATGGTCTAACTGGATGGAGAGGAATGGTCACCTCTGTTGGTGCAACCAGCCCTTCTCACAGCTGAGGGACACCCTGGTGTTAGTCCCAGTGTGCTCAGCCCTCATCTGCTGTGCTTAATGAACTGCACATTTGATCTGTGGAGTCTTTCCTGTGAGCACGGTCCCCTCTATAGTAGCTATGAGTTACTATAGGAACCGAGGAGCTTGGAGAATGCAGAGAAGCACTTTGTGTTTGCCCAGGACCTGGCCACACCGTCTCCTCCTATGTGATCACTGTTTCCTCAGACTTGGCTCCCAGGGCTCTCCA